TGCAGCAGCGCGAGCATGCATGCAGTTGCATATGTAGACGTGTTCGACGGCGTATGCTGTAGCACGAGGGGGAATATGGTCGTGCGGGTGATGTATGTATAGCAGAACGAGCCATGATATGGGCTACGAATAGCAGGGATATAACGGGGGTGTATGAGTATTGCTTTGAGTTTCGGGGTTGTAATGGTGCCATGTGTGTATGGTGGAGGGTGCACGCCAGTGGGTAGGAATGTTTTTTCAAAAGGAGATCTGTAGCGGTAGCCGTGTAGTTGCAGTATGGTAAGGGGGTCTGCACCCAAGTGTTTGCAATATTGCGAAAGTATGTGCTGCAGGAGGTTACTTAGCAGATGGCGGGCTTTGGTCTTAGCTCTTAGCGTGCGAGCTTAGTTTTGGTCAGGGTAGTTTCGTCTTCTTGTCTTGACTTGCTGCGCGCGATCATGTGCAGTTGTGTGTGTCTTTTTCGTTGTTGGCGCGAAGGACTGGCTATGGAGGCGCAGGGTATCGTCGTATTCCGTTTTGTCCTGTAGGCGTGGGTATTTGTTTTTTGTGTATCGTCTATGTCGTTTCGGAGTGGTGTTTTTAGTTATTTGTCGTTTCCGTAATGGTCATTAGTACGTTTTCGTGAGAACGCGTGGCCTTCGTATTTTGATGTGAGTGATTTGGTGTTTTCGTTATGTGTGTGCATTTCCGGTTTCATACATAGGCAAGTGTACCCATAACCGGACAGCAATTTTGTAGTTGATGTGGTGATAAAGGTTGCCTGCGTCGTTTTGCTTTACCGATAGGAGCTCCGAATTCCTAGTGGAGGTTTGCATATGGCTCATTGAGGGCTACGGCATGGGTAATGGGTTCGCTCAGTAGAGAGGGTATATCTGTATATATACACCTGCTGGTATTTAATCTCGGTTATTTTTTTATGATTATTCTCGATTATGGAGCTTAGTGTGCCTACGTATTTTTGTTATATCTTTTAGTCTAGCCGAATTACGTTATATTGGGAAGGTACTGATTGTTGATATGTATCTGGTTGTCTTATCTTATCTTTTTGTACTATTATATTTTGACTTATTATTATTGCCTTTCTCTTTTACAACTTTTTTTTATATGCATTTATTTTTCAATTTTCAATTTTTATTATTTTAATTTTACTGTTTTTTAATTATTATTTTTTGTAGTTTTATTATCTATTTATTATTTTGTTTGTTATTTTACAATTATTTTTTATTTTTTATTTTTTATTTTTTTAATTAATTTATTTATTAATTTATTTATTTATTAATTTATTTATTTTATTTTATTGTTTTATTATTTTATTAATTTAATTTTTATTCATTATTTATCAGTTTTTATTCTTTTAAGTTTTTATTTTTCTGTATCTGAAGAGAAGGGAAATGTATATGTGTGTGTGTGTGTGTGTGTGTCCCTCCCCGTTCCCGTTGTGATGAAGGTCCTGGTGGGGTAGGTCCAAGGATGTTGGACCTACCCCAACAGGGGTAGGTCCTTCATCCGAACCTTGCCAGTTTTGCTGGCATACACACACGGTATGTTTTTTGAAACATTTTGTTGATTATGTTGCTCTTTAGTTTTTGTTTTTTCATGTTTTAGTTTTTAATAGTTCTTGTTGGGATTTTGATTTTTGAAGTACTGCAGTATATGCATTTTAATTTTTTATTATTTTACTATAAAATTATTTTTGTAATTTTATTATTTATTTATCTAGGCTACCAGCCGGGCCGCCCGGGTCCCGGGTGGGCAGCCCGTGCAAGGACCGGGGAAGGTCCCAGCCAAAAAAAAAAAAAAAAAAAAAAAAAAATCCGAAAAAAAAACTATGTTATGCAGAAAAATAAACGGATCAACTTTTGCCTCAGGGTCACATCGAAATTCTACACCTAATTTAGAATAAAAAATAAATTTTTTATTTTTTATTTGTTATTTTTATTTTTTAATTGTTTTTGGCCCGGCCGGGCAAGTGACCCCGGGCCACTCTGGTAGCCTAGTTATTTATTATTTTGTTTGTTATTTTATTATTATTTTTTATTTTATTATTATTTTTTATTTTATTTATTTATTTATTTATAATTCATTATTTATCAGCTTTTATTCTTTTAAATTTTATTTTTCTGCATTTAAAGAAAAGGGGAAATTGTATATGTGTGCGTGTGTGTGTTTGTGTGTGTGTGTGTGTGTGTGTGTGTGTGTGTGTGTGCATGTGTGTGTGTGAGATACTACTCTAAATGATAAAAAATACAGGTAATGACGACTACGGGACAGCTCGAGTCTGATTTCCAGATGAAAAGAACGATGAATATCAAGCAGTCGACACAGCACGATGAAGAGGCTCAATGATGACGCTTGAATAATCAGCAGGAAAGTGACGAAGCAAGTCGCAAACTGCATGCAGGTAGGGTGTGGCCGCCCCTAAAACGTTTTTCACCGTTGCCACCATACGGATCATCAGAGGGATACTTCGAAAACCTGCGTTCACAGCAAACCACATGCGACAACAGTCCAAGCTTCCAAACATTTCCATTCATAGGTAAAGGCTTAGTAGGGAGAGGGATGGGGGGTATACTGCGACAACAGTCCAAGCTTCCAAACATTTCCTTCATAGGTAAAGGCTTAGTAGGGAGAGGGATGGGGGGTGTACTGCTTCCTCGTCGCTCTGGTTCTCCGCGAGGTCAGCATACATGATACCATCCAAGTCCAAAGTCGCCATGGCCAAGCATTCACAGCAATCGTCAAAGAGCCTCCGCACAAAGCAGTACAGTCATTCAGCCAAGAACGAGATGGGGGAATAAACCCGCAGACAGTAAATATAGTGGAGGATAGCAGCACTTCTCGAGGCGGGCCAAGTTGAAAGGGCCGCGTGGGTGTTCTCTTCGAAAAACTACGGGAACGGGGTTCAGGTGAACAGCCGTTTGTCAATCGGTCCAGATTACCCATCGGTACCTGTACCATGGTCCTAGCCCGGTGCAAATACTGCCTGTCTGTTCGAAGAAAACGAAAAAACGGCCCATGCATTTGAAGTCCTTTTTGCGGGGTTGCTTGGAGCTAGCGGAGGCCGGCGGCGCTTTTTCAAGGAAAGCCTTGGTAGCCTTTTACGAATCAGGTCCATATTAAGTGCTCCTGTGCGTGTGTATATGTGGCTTAGTCCCATCCTGGTGCAATGTCTATCCAATAGTCGGTAAAACTGAGGTCGGTACGCCCAGATGATTCTTCGTCTGGCGTCCAGGGGGTCGAAAGGGTACCAGATGTTTTAACTCTAGTATCCCTACGGACCTGGGAGTCCACCCGTGTGGCTACTACGTTGCTGTATTTTAACCACTAGTTGGACCATGTGCATGCATATACCTATATATCGTCACAAATAGAACTGCCCGGTAAACCGTAGGCAGAGAGAGAGAAGAGGACAACAAACGAGGGGCTGTGACAAACTGTTTCGTCGGAGTTTCACCGACTCATCAGGAGCATGCATATACCTATATATGTATTTATGTGTGTGTGTGTGTGTGTGTGTGTGTGTGTGTGTGTATGTGTGTGTGTGTGTGTGTGTATCCATCTATGTATGTATGTGTGTGTGTGTGTGTGTGTGTGAGAGAGAGAGAGAGAGAGAGAGAGGGAGAGAGAGCTTCCCAACTAAGTCCCTTACCTTGTCGATGGCGAAGAACCGCGATGGCGGGCGTTGGCGGGTGACGGCGGGGTCACGCGCGATGGCGGGCGTTGGCAGGTGCTGGTGGGGTTCATCGAAGTTGCGCGTCGAAGTCCGGCGGAGTGTCACAACTGCAGGGCAGGAACGGGGGGATATTGGGGGTACAGCGTGAGTATGGGGGAGGGAACGGGGGCCAGTAGTTCCCGCCCTCACCGATTTGAAATCGTGGCCATCTGGGCCCTCAATCTTTGAGATGGAAGATCCAAATCGGGCCCGATTCGAAATCGGTGAAATCGGGCCTACCAACCACATTTTGTTTTCTGTGGTTTAGATAGTCTAGAATGGGTGCAAAAAGGCCCCCAGCGGCGGGGAAAAAAAAAAAAAAAAAAC